GACGCACCGAAGCAGCTGGGACCCTGACAGTTGACCTCGAGTACGCGTGGACGCACCAAAGCAGCTGGAACCCTGACGGTTGACCTTGACCACGCGTGGGTTCACCGCATCGGATGGGACCCTGACAGTTGACTCGTCTCGGTAATCGTCGACCGGCGAAAACGGGCACGCCTGTGACTCGCCGTGATCAGCAGCGTCTGGCCGCGCCGGGAGGCTGACCTTGACCGCGGCGGGTCGCCAGCCAATCAGCGGCAGGCGGGCGCAGCGGCGGGTGCAGGCGCATGGGCGTGGTGGGGGGGGGGGGGGGGGCGGGGGGGGGGTTGGGGGGCTCCGCACGTGGAGCGATGCTTAAGCCGTCCTTAAATGTTCGTGCAGGCCATTCAACCACACAGTAGGCTTCGCTACGTTTGGCGTGTTCGTGTCGTGATTTGCATGATCCTCTCAAGAACTATAGATAGCGTTAGGGCACCGACTGTCGCCGGCCGCTATCGCATGAAAGCATAATGACGTCATGACGTAACAGATAGGAAGCCGATGACGTAACAGATGACGTCATGACGTAATAGACAGACGAAGGCCAGGAAGTTCGGCGAAAGTTCGGCCCCGGGCACCGCCGACTTAAGCGAGTGTTTCTGGACAGCTGCAGATCAGCTGAGCGTCGCAGCTGAGCGGCAGGTCCGTAGAAGCGACTAATGGAGGACCGGCGGGAACCGGGCAGCCCGCGCGTCTGCCCCGCCACCAGGCGCCGCCACTTGCGCCGCCGCAGGCGGAGCCGCGCCCCACGCAGCTCCGGCGACGGACCACCCGACGCCGGCTCCGGTCCGTCGGCGACCGCGCCGGTCGCAATCGCGTTCGCAGCGCTCCACCGGCGCGCGCGGCGGCCGCGATCGGCCGGCGCCGGCTCATGAGCCGGCCGAGCCTCCGCCGTGAACACAGCTTACACGCGCCGCCGTCCAGTAGCGGCGGCCCTGCCTCGGTCGGCCGCCGCGCCGACGGGCGGCAGGACGCGACGACGGCGACGACGGCGACGCGTCTAGACACAGCCGCACGCCGTCGGCTGAGCTCGGTGCCAAACCCAGCAGACTCAGCCGACCAAAAGGCCGATAGCGACAAGACCCGGGCACGTATCCTCGCACCAACGCCGGCGGGACATCGGCAACTCGATTTCCTTGCACGACTAACAAGATCAAGGCCTAGGCGGAGTGCGGCGGCGCACGTGCGGGCGGGCGGCCCCGGCCCCGGCCGTGGCGGCGGGTAGACACGTGCAGTGGCGGACGCCCGGCGGCGCACTGCGTCCGTGCCCCGCCGCCGGCCGCCGTCGGATCGACCAAGCGAGGCGACGGCCGGCCGGACTTCGCATACAAGACGGGGAGGGGGGGGGGGGGGGGGCAACGGCCCGTGTCACTAGGCTCACACCGGCGTGCACGTCACATAGTTCACACGCCGACCTGGCGAGGCGCCGACCGTGCCGGCGCCAGGGCCTATGCCACCGCTGGCTGCCACACGGCGGCCCGGGCACGCACGGCGACGGTGCCGACACACAGAGACGTGTTTGTGTGCCCCCCCCCCCCCCCCCCCCACCCCCTGAACAAAGAACGCGGAAGCCAAGTCACGCACTGTGCCGTTCATACACGACTGTTACGAGGGCCGAACTCTCACGCGGCAGGACACGGCATTCCTGCCGCCATCCCGGTCGGCAAGGGTTATCGTCGAATATACTGACGATATTCAGTAATACTGACGAATACTGAATCTCGTCAGTATTAAAGGAAGCGTTCCACACTTATATGGGGTTTTTAACTGAAACGACTATTTTGAAGAGCTTTTAGTGCTGTTCACAATCCTGACCCTTTTAAGATCTAAGTCCCTCTACGTTCTGAGCTAGGCGCCCGCGAAAATAGGGAAAGGTATATCAGGGAGAGTATCTCGAAGTCACCTTCACGTTCATGACATCATAATCACATCATTTAAATCCTACCATTCCATGAGCCATGTGGCTATCAAGGCAAAAAAATCATTGTCGATGCACTCGTGTCTGGCGTTTGTGAGCACGATTTCCGGATATAACGGCCGTCAATTGATTTTCAATCAATGGTGTGCAAGGTACGATGACGTAATCAAATCCTGACACATTAAGGAACATGTTTACCAAACAGAGCATTGTGCTGTCTAGAGCAGTCTTTTCCACCTGGAAAGTATGCCAATATTTATAAGTGAGCTTGTCTCATCATATCTGATGTTTGCTTCAACATCTTCAAACGTGAAACAGTTCCTTATACCGCATCACACTGCGCCATTCGCTTGCACCATCGACACGCGCCTGGCCCGCTGCACACCTGGCAGACGTTCGCCGTCACCCACCTGGGCGGGCCATCTAATTCCAGACGCCCTACAGAGGGCAATGGTCACCGTGCGACATCGCTTAGCCGCGTAATACCCGGCGGGACAATGCACACACCTCCAAACAAACTGGGCGAGGCGGTGCCGGCCAGCGTTCCGCACGTGCGCGACGACATAGCGTCAACAGCCGGCCGCACCTGGCGGTCCTCGCTCACCGCCGAGACACCCATTAAGCGCGCGTGCAGGGGCGGATTGCCGGTCAGTCGCACCTGGGAGGGCGCCGTTGGCCGGCTCGGGGGCGCACCCGTCCGGAGCGCATCGACCACCGGCGCAGCTGTCTCCGAGGCGACACAAAGCCACCACAATGGCGTCAGCGGCGCGCCGCGCGACAGCACGCGGACCACCGGTGCCCCTGTCACGCGCCGCCGACCGAGGCGGGTGCGAGCGCCGGGGTGAGCGCGGCCGCCGACGAGCAGCGGGCGCGCGGCCGGCCGGCGAAGAGGGGCGCCGTCGAGTCAACAACAAACGCGGCGAAAGAGCCTGGCGGAGGATGTAATCTGCGTGCGGGTGCCGTCGAGCGACGGCTCCTCCGGTCCGGGCGAAGACGACGGCCGTGCTGGCAGTGTCGCTGTCGCGTGCCGTCGGTCCATGCGTGCCATGTGAAGCTAAGTAGTCACGGCTGGAAACGGTCGCGACGCGATGGCCGCAGAGCACAGAAAAGCGGCCAGCTCTCACAGGCGTAGTCTTCGCACGACGTTGCCAAGTCTGATGTCTCGCTCCCGCCTACGCCGGAGCGAAGGCCCCACCGCCGGTGACGCAGCAGTCCACGCATTACGGGGTCCACCTAGCCACATCTGGACGCATATGCATTCAGATAATGTTATGTCGCCGCGCGGCCAGTACCTTCCAATATTCCAATTATGGACGAAAGCAATATCACCTGTCACACTGGCCAGCGGAGCACGCTTCACTTCCCGAGCGCGGCTGCAGGCTCCCGGCCAGGCGACGGCCCCGTCCCGCTCGAGCCGGGCTTGGCCGCAGCGCGCCCGGGCCGGGCCGGCGGCGCGGCGCCGGTCCCGGGCGGCCGGCGGGCCCGGGACCGGCCGCGGTGTCGGCCGCGGTCGATGGCGGCCGCCGTGACGGCCCCGGCCGGCGGCGCCGGTGCCGCGCCGGCCGCCGGTCAACACGGCTCGGCGGCGCTCCCGCCCGGCCGCCATGGCGTGACGGGCGGTTTAACAGAGCGCAGCGGCACTGGTAAGCAGTCCGCGGAGGCAGATGCATCAGCAGCGAGTAGTCAGAGCCCAACAACGTCCAAAACTAGACGTTGGAGCCCTCTTCCAATACCATTCGGCTTTCAGGGCACAAATCAACAGTTGCTGAGCCATTCGAGTGCAATCTCAATTCCATCAAGTCACTGAGTCTAACAGCCCTCACCAACAGTCAAACTAATCTAGTTTCATTCCTGGTCAACACCGCGCCATTGTAGTCCCAGCACGTCCACAGAATTTAATTAGAATCGGCTAGTCAACAGATCGCAACTTTGCAGCAAACGGGTTCACGGAAACAAACAACGCCTCTAACCCAGCAGCAGAGTTTGACCTCGCTTCCGACACGTCTCCAACACCTCCTTCCTCCCCCCCCCCCCTCTCGCTCACTCACTCACTCACTCACCCACTCACTCGCTCACCCGCTCACCCGCTCTCTCGTTCTCTCGCTCTCTGGCCATCAGCAGACCCGGCTGCCAGACCGACAGGAGTGCATAAATACACTGCCACGTGGCTAATAGAGCCACACTGCCCAACGCCATCTCTCGCTCGTCGTCCATACCCCGTACGGCATCATGGCAGCGGTCGGCGCCGCGTAACCAGTGGAAGGGAGGGCATTCTGCAGCTCGGGGTCACGTCATGATCCAGTGCAACCACCACCAGTGTCGCGCCACAGAATCCGTACTTTTGGCGGGTGTCCGGCACGCGCCTCGGTGCAGTCTTTTCGCGGGAGCCAGCGAAGTTAGCGGTGATTTTAGCGGCCGGCGGCCGTGGCGCCAGCTGGGCATCGAAGCCCTACGTCGAAGTTAGAGACCCAGACGTGCTCCCAACTGAGGCGTTTCGTCCCCGCTATTGCGTTACTAAAACGAGAAGCCAGACATTAAAACGGCCAGCCTATCCAGCCACCAGGTCTGTTTTTTTTCCGAGAAGCTCGCAAGTAATCTCATCTGTTTCAGCTGAGCCAATCACAGCACAACATTAATGGGATGGAGTTGGTGACCACTGAGCGT